AGTTCTAAACCCAGTGACTCTCAGCTTCAGACAGTTTAGTGGCTATCACAGCAGTTCAGTAGTGAAGGGGTGCCACAATGAAACTATACACTTATTTGTCTTGTGTTGTCTGCAAGTCGCAGATACTGAAATTGGTTACCGCAAGGAAAAGCCAGGATAATCGCCGTCACAGAAATGGTACATACAAAATACCAAACTCTAAAAATGATTTTTTCATACCGGAACTTGTGCAAAACGAAAGTCCAGTCCACAGTCGGGAGAGAGTTATCTCCCTCTAGCAGGTGAACTAAGTGCCAGAAACGGAATAACGAATACAATTATAACGCGATTCCTTCCCTTGAAAGTTTAAGACTAATCCACGATTTAACGCCCCTGATGAGATTGGCACCGCCGCGAACCGCCCGCAGAGTCGTGGCGTTAAGATGAAAATCCCGGAGCGGCAATCCCTTTAGGCGCTTAGGGGCGGCCGATACTGTCACATTTTTTGTGATCAAGTGAGATTTGACGAGAATCAGACGGCTTCCACTTGGTCTAACACCCTGCAGTTCTGTGGGCAGAGATACTTCACCCCCCCCCCCCACACACACACACGCCCATCAGCCCCCAAACATTCAATATTCATCCAAGTAAAAGAAAAAATATGGAACTACATATTATATTCTTTCTTAACGTTCAGATAATACAAAAACTAGTATGGTATTAAAACTTAACGGTGTGATGGTTTATTAACAAATAAATCCAAGTTTATCCCGGATATCAAAAACCAATCAGTGTGTCTTCAACTAAAACAAGTAAATAAAAAGTCTAGTGACAATTTAAGCGCAATTTCCTTATGTTATCCATAACAATTTTAAATCGAGATAAATCATATATTCAGCAAATAAATAATGCAACAAAAGTAGTTTTAATAATTCAAAACAAAATAGAAAAAATATTTATTATTTAATAGGGTACAAAAATAACGTTTGAATTAATAAGTAAAAAATAAATACAACTATATTAACCTGTATCAACGGAAATAGTTTTATTTTAAAGAGTAGGCCTACACGATGCTCAGTTTAAACAAGTAAAGTAGTAAATATCATCCTATAAATATAAACTTATTTGTTCTTAATTAATTTTTTGTGACCGAACGAAAGGATATTTTTGAAAACTTTCTTCGGCAATATTGTTCTAAATTATGGCAGAAATCGATCGGTAAATGTTTCAAGTCGCTAAGTGGTCTGGTTGCCGAGATATGGGCCAAACACTGCATTTTTTCGAGGTTTTTTGGCTTTTCCAGGAAATCCAGGAAGGAATTCCGGGAATTTTTTTGGCCCACAATCATCCTCGGAACTTGCTTAACAAATTTGCTTTGGAACTAGTCCTCGATACTGCTTCGTTGAGGAGGAGATACGAATTAAAGCTGCGCACATCCATCCATCCATCCATCCAGAAATGACGAGTTAATAATCGCAATTCCTGTAAGGAAATTGCGCTAAAAATATCTTAAACGACACGGTTATCGTAAATCTCTACTGTAACCTAAACTTTAAGATAGCTGAAAATGGATTTAAGCCGAAACAATTACTAGGATTAAAATTACGTAGTAGCTAAAAATGTATCCAGATTTCATGTCATAAGTTATATAGTCACAAGTGAAGAGAATTGAACTAAATTTCAAGTTAAGTACAAAAATTCATGTTTCCACATTTCTAGTCGGAAAGTTACGTTGCCTGTCAACAAAAAAACATAAGAAACATTCCAGTCAAAAACTTATAATAAGTGCCAATGTAAAGTTGATTAAAATTTCAAGTCAGATAAAAATGCATGTAAAGTGGCAATGAAGACTTGAGAACTATTTCAACTCGAAAAGTTATGTTGAGCGACAACAAAAAATTTAGCAGCATTTCAAGTCAAGTCCTAAAGTCAAATTGACTTGACCACAGGAAGTTTAACGAAGAATGTTGTGAAGTTTTGCGATCGTCCCGGACACGACGTACGTCCAAATAGCCACTGGACAATGGTGTAGGGGAATGTGCCGGCTAAAGAAAGGGGCGATTGATTGGTGTGTTTGATGCTGTGGTCTCATCAAACTAGCGGCGCGTGCCTCCACCGTCCGATGTTGACCAACATGTTGCCAGGTATGTTAAGTACAGGAACAAGTTGCCAGGAATGGAAACTAATGGAACTTGTTAAACAGCGGAACATGTCGCATGTAAATTCCTGCAACATGTTGCAAATCTTAATTAATAAAACGTAATTCAAGTTGTATTCATGAAGGTGAGGAGTTGTTCGCATAATAAGTTACACAAAGTCAGTTATCAAGGTTGGAGATTACACAAGGCTAATTACCAAGGTCAAAGGTTAGACAAGGTTATTCCAAGTTGAAAGGTGCAATAGATAACGCACGAAGTTATAGCTGAACTCAGTTTTTGAGTCTATGAGCTACAACAAGTCCATAACTAGATCAGTTATTATCATATCAGCATTTAAACCGCTGCATTCTTAGCACGTTTAGTATCTACTGGCGTCAATTACGGTGTGGGACACTACAGGTTAAATCACAAAATAACCGCCTAATGAAACGTCACAATAAATACATGCCGTAGTCTGACTTCTCGTGTTCAGTATAATCTCTTCAAATAACTATGACATGACATCAGACAGCTATGACAAGACATGACATCATAAAGCTATAGTAACCGATAAGTATATAAAAGTCAACAGTAAGTGTAAACGGGTGTTAGTTGCTAGATAGATCACTTGAGTAAATTCGATTTTGTTTTTAAATTTCTTGTGAGGCCCGCTAAGCGAAACTGTTCTAAAATTTCTATACGCACATTAATGAATCTTATACACTGAAACCAAATTCACAAAGTCATTGACTGAACTACCACCAAGCTGATCTAATGCAGTACATGAATATTCATGCCTTCAAACTAGACCACTAAACGTATAGTTTACGTCATATGGAAATTAAAGTAAAACATTATCCCTGGCATTTCTCTACCGCCGCTGCCGTTTAAGCCTGGCACTAAAAGATGCAGACGTCAACCATATCCTAAATCTAATTGCAGGAACCTGAAAAAAATTTATCTGGCCATAAAAAACAGTTCTCTATGCCAGTCTTTCCCTGATTATGCATGGAATCAAAACATCTTCAGCCTCAACCACACTCGGGGCCGAGTCTTTCCAAATCTGATTGGAACATGAAGCGCTTCCGGTTAATACCACGTGATACTCAGCCAATGAAAACAAGGCAGGCAGCTCACACGCCCGGCTCGCAACACAAACGTCAACAGCTTAAATCAGAATTTGCAGACGGGCGAGTGTTGGTTTTTGATTTCTTCTCAAACGGCGCAATCTCCGCTTCCAGAGAGCGGGATGCGGTCCGATTAGTGCTAGAGACGATTATTCGGAGATTATCGGCTTGTGTTGAGCTAGTTACACCGTTGTTGCACTGGTCCTCCCGCTTGATTTATATTCCAGACAGTTACGGGCCACTTTGTTCGAGCAACGGAAATTTTTATCCGTCACTTGTCTTTAAATATGACCCTTTGAAAAAAAAAAGATTCTTCCGTCTCCCCCTTATAAGACGCGATTGTTGACGCATGTTAAAAATACATGAAATAACGAGAGATTTGTTATTCTAAAACTGTTTGATAATCCAAGTTAAAAACAAGTTTATAAACAAGTTCTGAATTCATCAAGCTAAAAAAATAAATGGCTTGAACTTCAAGCGAATTTAATACTTTCTATACATGGTATTAAAAGTTACAGGCCACATAATCCAGATACACAAGAGATCGAGAGAGATAGGAAAGTGAGAAAGAGATATATTCTAAAGCCTCTACAACGCCCCTTTCACCAATGAAATATAATATTAACAATTAGGCATGGATGTAGAATATGCCGTTACCTTTAAAAGTAAATTTAAAAATTTTAACACGCTTACTTTAAATTTTAGAACAAAAAAAAAACACTTTAAAAGTGCTAGTTTAAATACTAATACGAAAATGAAAACTAGGCGGTACCGGGTAGTTTTTAAATAACACAGATTTAAAAACATGGAGTAAAGTCTACCGCGACCCGCGATACAAATATTTAACTGTCTATTTAGAGATTTTATTTATGAATACAATTCTAAAATTCATTTCTAAAAACATGTTTAAAAATGTAACATAAATATGATATTAATAATGTGATATGTTATTTTAATTAAAATGTAGTTGTCTTTCGTAACAGCTGCATTGATTCTAACTTGTGTTTCTAAACAGACGAATCAATGTGATCTTTTTGATATATTCAAGATTTTATTTCAAAATGTAATTTGGAAATGTACCACAAAATGCCAAGGAGACAGTGGCTTATCATTTGTTTTATTGTAATATATGTAGTGGGACAGCTGTATAGAGAGCAATGTTGTCTACAGCTTCCTCGTTTTGTATTTATTTTTGTCCATTATTTCAAATTTAGAATAAGCTGGGTGAACGTTTCGTTCATTTTAAATGTAATGTTTCAATATTTTAATAAGACGTTGCACCAATTTTAAATGTGGATAAAATAAAATTATTTCAAAGAGTTGTATGGACATGTATTGTGGCACTGCGTCGTGTTGTGTTTCTAAGGTCTCCAGAATGTTGCTGACGCCAGTCTTGCATGTTGGCGTAGTGCTCGACTCTACATTCATAACTCCATATGTGATTTAAGATTTCTGTACTCTTAAAGCCCACTTTGATATATAGTTTGATTTATAGTATTTCGACAAACACATCTCTATGTCGGGGAAATATGTTGTATTTGACGATTGTCTACCGCAACATATATAGCACTAAACCACTAAGTCTTATTATCACTTCATTAATTAATATGGACAGCCCAACTGCGTAAAGAAAACACAAATACAACATACTGTTGATATGTGTGTTTATTGCGTCTGTTTTTAATGATGTATTTTCCCTCTGTTACTTGTTATGAGTCTGTCAAAAAAATAAAAAATAAAAAAGTTGACAAAAATATTGTGTAATGAAAGTTTATTGTACTTATAAAAAACGTGATATAAAAATGAATTTAAAAATATCAAAATACATAGATACAAATCAAAGTTTACAAGAGTTACAAGGCTTGTTTTCCTAGAGTGTCGGGGTGCAGGGAGTTAACTCGCGACTAATAAAGGTAACTTTTAAAAAACCGGTTATCGCCCGTTAAACATTTTGGTGGCATCGGTGACTAGTCCATAAAAATTAGAAATTTTACTTAGGATTTGATATGACGTAAGACCAGAGACGACCTACAGACCAGATGTGACCTATAGACCTGACCTGACCTACAGACAATATGACCTACAGGCCGTATGATTTACAGACCATTTAAGACCTCTCGAGCACACAAGACTCCATACCATAATGACCTATTGACCTGCTATGACTAAATGGTCATGTGGCCGTAGAGAATATTTATGTGGCTTTACATATTCCGATACACAAGAAGAAAAAAATCTGCAGGGAAAAAAATATATAATTTGTATTTTAAGATTTAAATGTTAACCAGAATCATAAGATGTGTGAACTGACGGGTCTACTGACACAAAACAAGAAGTATTGTTTGAACAAAAGGGTAGACCTAGCCCAACCCCATCCATCAGATCTATGTGAGACCAATCTAAGGAAGTAGACCTAGCATAGCCCCATCCACTATGTGAGATCAAACTGAATTAGACCTAGCATAGCCCCATCCATTAGACCTATGTGGGATAAATCTAAGGAAGTAGACCTAGCATAGCCCCATCTATGTGGTATCAATCTAAGGATGTAGACCTAGCATAGCCCCATCTATGTGGTATCAATCTAAGGATGTAGACCTAGCATAGCCCCATACATCCACTATGTGGGAACAATCTAAGGAAGCTAGAAAACTCGCGCAGAAATACACAAATAGCTAGAAATACAAAATCACTCAAGTAGAACCACATGAATCGCTCACTCAAAGAACCAAATTCAATAACACTACAACTGTTGTTCATGTCTCCCACATGCCCACTGAAGAAACTTCCAGAATCTTTCAACTAGGGCGGAGTCAAATGGCCAGATAATTTTTTTCTAATCCATTTCTTGCCTTTTATTAGAAGAGGACCATAAAAGCGTCGCCTGAAATGTACAGGTGTCTAGGTTAGTTGAAAGAACAAGACAAAAACCAGAGTTTACACGACACACTTTTATTGTCTTTCTCAAGCAAAACATTTTGAAAGTAGTTCATGGGGGTCCAACAAAAGTGTGCCGTCTGCTCAACCGGCAGAGTCTTCTGCTGTTAATCAATCCGCCCACCCGGAGAGCAGCCGAACCACGCAGGGCAGAACTCGCTGGTTGTATGACTGCGCCCAGAGAAGTAGTGCTTGGAACTATAGTTCAAGTGCGGGCACTGTACGTGAGTACTTCTCCAGGTTCTAGAACTTATTGTGCCGTCCTAGGGCTCTGGGGTGTTTTTCTACCTTTCCCTGCCAGACGATAACAGAGGTCACCTTCAGACATACAGGTGGGTTGTTTTAGAGTTGACATTGGGATGGGTCTAGTTAGAGTTGGCACTGAGACAGACATAAAGATTGGTCTAATTAGAGTTGGCATTGAGATGGGTCTAGTTAGAATTGATAGTTACACGGATGTATTATTTGTCTAGTGAGAGTTGATACTTAGACGGACATATTATTAGAGAAGGGTCTAGTGAGAGTTGACATTCAGATGGGTCTAGTTAGAGCTGATATTCAGACGGACATAGAGATGGGTCTAGTGAGAGCTGACATTCAGATGGGTATAGTTAGAGCTGATATTCAGACGGACATATTACTTGAAGGGATGCCAAAGCAAGAAACGTAAGCTAAAAACGAGCTTTAAACAGATCAACCAGCTCAGGAAAAGGTAAGTCTAGCCACTGAAAACTTTCCCATAAGCAACACATGGAACATCAGGATAAGGCAAAGTTCGATCTTTAAAGAAACAGTCACCCCTTTACTTCAGATATAAATCACTGTCAACAACTGTTGCCGTACTTTTATTAAAGGTTACTATTTATAGATTGACGCTATGAACTTCTGAACCCCGACACTCATTACATTTTACCGCGATAATTTGATTAGAAATATAGTGGCAATTATTGGTTCAATGTATGGATTTTATAGATCAGCCATACCCACTTATGCTGATGATTTTGCAAATAAATGGTAAAGGCTTTTGTTAGGGTTGGAGTTAGGATTAGATACAAATGTAGTATTGGCTGTTGCTATAGATACATGGGTGATTCAGATATTTTACTATTTAGGTATGGCTTACCTAAAAGAACAGAACGTATTATTTATCTATTAGTTACGTTGCAACAGCTAAATTATTGAGTTGAAAAGTTGGAGGGAAAATGATTTGTTTACGAATTCGACGTTTCTAACATTGCTATAACAAATATTTTTGTATCTAACTGTGCTAAAACAATTGTTATATCAACTCCATTGCTAAAACAATAGTTGAATCTATCAGTGCTAAAAACATTGTTGTATCTAACAGTGCTAAAACAATCGTTATATCTACTCTAGTGCTAAAATAATTGTTGTATCTAACTATTCTATAACAAATTGTTGTATAGAGCTGTCCTATAACAAATTGTTGTATCTACTCCAGTCATATAATAAATGGTTGTATCTAAAAGTCCTATAATAAATTGTTGTATCTAAAAGTCCTATAACAAATTGTTATATCTACTCTAGTGCTAAAATAATTGTTGTATCTAACTATTCTATAACAAATTGTTGTATCTAACTGTCCTATAACAAATTGCTGTATCTAATAGTGCTATAATAAATTGTTGTGCTGTAAGAAATTGGTGTATCTAACAGTGCTAAAAGAATGTTTATATCTACTCTAGTGCTAAAATAATTGTTGTATATAGCTGCCCTATAACAAACTGTTGTATCTACTCCAGTCCTATAACAAATTGTTATATCTAACTGTCCTAAAACAAATTTTTGTATCTACTCCAATGCTAAAATAATTGTTGTATTTAACAGTTCTATAACAAACTGTTGTATCTAACAGTTCTATAACAAATTGTTGTATCTACTCCAGTCCTATAATAAATGGTTGTATCTAACAGTTCTATAACAAACTGTTGTATCTACTCCAGTCCTATAATAAATGGTTGTATCTAACAGTTCTATAACAAATTGTTGTATCTACTCTAGTGCTAAAATAATTGTTGTATCTAACAGTTCTATAACAAATTGTTGTATCTACTCCAGTCCTATAACACGTTGTTGTATTTAACTGTCCTATAACAAATTGCTGTATCTACTCCAGTGCTAGCATAACTTACTGGATGCTGTCTGTGTGACGGGGCGAGGTGGTATGTTCACGCCTGTCCTGTACGATGGAGATGACTGCTCACTCTTCAGCAGCATCAACATGCAAATGATCTCATCACCTGACGACAACAACATGAAAAGTGCTACTCAAGGGAAATAACTGTTTAAATGTTCGATACATTAATTTTCTTTCTTATTTCCCTTTATATATTCATTGAACTAAACTCAGTGACCTTTGTTTTTTTTTTCTTTGCTATTAAGGCTGCGCAATCCTGGCCTCTCTTCTTCTTCTTCTTCGTTCTTAATTATTAGTGTTGAAGGGGATCGAGATTTATCTGCCAGTGGGTTTGAACTCGAGACTTTGTTCGAATTTATCAACCATGAGCTTTTTGCACAATTAAGCGTTACGTGTCAACTGGTTATGCGCCATTGAGGCCATTGACTCCGATTTCAGCCTGCTTTTCTTTTTGGATTTGCTTCCATAGCCTTTGTCCAACCAAGAACAAACTACAAGGCAGCAGTTGTTTAATTTTGGAGTTGTCTCTCCTAGAAGAGTGGCTGTCCCCAGCTAACGAGCCTCATCTGCCCGAGGGTTCGAACTCAAGACTTTTCGGTTTAGCAACCATGAGCTTTACCGACTCGACCACGCCGAACCCTCTGGCCTCTATGAGTCCACCCAACTTATATAAGTACTCAAATTGTAGCGTTTGGCTGCTAGCCCGAAGGTCTCGAGTTCAGATCTCAGTTCGTACTTGTGTCTGTAGGACGTCCCTGAGTTCACCCAGCTCTTATGGTCCCTAACTTAGGTTGGGGAACGAAAAGGCGGTTGGGCATAGTGCTGACCACACTATCCCTTCATATGCCGAGGTAAAAAACAACAACATATGAACTCTACTTCATCAGTGGATCGCTTTTTAAAGAAATATCCTTGTCTTCACTTTACTTCTTGCTAATGGTGTTATAAGGGAATTATCTTTAACGTATTCTAATTCCGACTGTTGGCCTAAATTATCAAATTCATCTGATATTTTATATGTGCACGTTCACTAAAGATCTAATTAAATTCTTAAGGCCACCACATGAAAATATCATTTACGAAATTAACAGTGAGTTCCTTTTTTATACTTCACCTTTTAGACCCAGTCGATAACTTATTAGAAACACCTTGCTACAAATCATGATTTGACACGCTGAATCAGGTCTGAGCGCTGGATTTTGGATTTGGGTTAGGATTAGAGTTGGGGCTAGATTTGGTTTAGATTTAGGGTTAGTAGGGTTATGGTAATGGTTTAGTTATGGTTAAGGTTAGGGTTATGGTGGGGAAAGGGATATGGTTAGAGTTAGGGTTAGGGTTAGACTATACTCGAGTCCGATCCGCCACATGACTAGAGGTGTCTGAATTAGGAGTGTACCTCCCCATCTCCCACCCCCTGCACACAGTCCACCACCCCCACCCCCAACAAGACATGTCCCCATGTCTTACTTGTAGGCCAGAGACAGAGACGGTCTTTGACTGTCTGGAAGACGTCCTTGGAGTTCCTGACTTCCGTCATGACACGCCCCTTCTGGAGGGCACTCATGTCTGTTGAGGTATCTCTGGCGGAGACCTTTGGTCGGCACGAGGTCCTACGTTTGATCTGGAACATTCGAAATATAAGTAGAGCAATCTGGAACATTCGCAATACAAGTAGAACAATCTGGAACATTGGCAATATAGGTAACACAGGGACATTCTCAACACAAGTAGAAAAATCTGGAACATTGTTAACATAAATAGAACAACCTGGGAAATTCGCAATATAGATCTAGGTAGAACAATCCGGAACATCAGCAAAAGAAATAGTGTTTCTTTCAGACTTTTTCCCCGGGGGAGTGGGGGAGAGAAACTCTCGGGCGGACAATAGTAAAAGTATATATTTTCTGCATACACTGGCCTACACTGGCCGGGACTTCAGTAGTTTACACTGGCCTACACTGGCCTACACTGGTCTATACTAGCCTACACTAGCCCAGACTACACTGGCCTACACTAGCCCAGACTACACTGGCCTACACTGACCTACACTGACCGACACATGCCTACGCTGGCCTACACTGACCTACACTAACCTACGATAGCCTACACTGACCTACACTGGCCTACACTAGCCTACACTGGCCGGGCCTAAAGTAGCCTACACTAACATACACTGGCTTACACTAGGTCAGCCTACACTAGCCTACACTAGCCCAGCCTACACTGGCCTATACTTGCCTACACTAGCCCAGCCTACACTAGCCTACACTAGCCCAGACTACACTGGCCTACACTAGCCTACACTGGCCTACACTGGCCTACACTAGCCCAGCCTACACTGGCCTACACTAGCCTACACTAGCCCAGCCTACACTGGACTACACTGGCCTACACTGGCCTACACTGGCCTACACTGGCCTACACTAGCCCAGCCTACACTGGCCTATACTGACCTATAATGGCCTACACTGGCCTACACTGGCCTACACTAGCCCGGCCTACACTGGCCTATACTGACCTATACTAGCCTACACTGGACTACACTGGCCTACAGTGGCCTACACTAGCCTACACTTACCTACACTGGCCTACACTGTCCTACACTGGACTACACTGGCCTACACTGGCCTACACTGGCCTACACTAGCCCAGCCTACACTAGCCCAGCCTACACTACCCAGCCTACACTGGCCTACACTGGCCTACACTAGCCCAGCCTACACTGGCCTACACTGGACTACACTGGACTACACTGGCCTACACTGGCCTACACTAGCCCAGCCTACACTGGCCTATACTGACCTATACTGGCCTACACTAGCCTACACAGGACAACACTAGCCTACACTGGCCTACACTGACTACACTGGCCTTCACTAGCCCAGCCTACACTAGCCCAGCCTACACTGGCCTACACTGTCTACACTGGCCTACACTAGCCCAGCCTACACTGGCCTACACTGGTCTACACTGGCCTACACTGGCCTACACTGGCCTACACTAGCCCAGCCTACACTGGCCTATACTGACCTATACTGGCCTACACTGGCCTACACTGGCCTACACTAGCCCAGCCTACACTGGCCTACACTGGCCTACACTAGCCCAGCCTACACTGGCCTACACTAGCCCAGCCTACACTGGCCTACACTAGCCCAGCCTACACTGGCCTACACTGGCCTACACTTACCTACACTGGCCTACACTAGCCCAGCCTACACTAGCCCAGCCTACACTGGCCTATACTGGCCTACACTGGCCTACACTAGCCCAGACTACACTGGCCTACACTGGCCTACACTGGCCTACACTGGCATACACTGGACTACACTGGCCTACACTGGCCTACACTGGCCTACACTGGCCTACACTAGCCCAGCCTACACTGGCCTACACTGGTCTACACTGGCCTACACTGGCCTACACTGGCCTACACTAGCCCAGCCTACACTGGCCTATACTGACCTATACTGGCCTACACTGGCCTACACTGGCCTACACTGGCCTACACTAGCCCAGCCTACACTGGCCTACACTGGCCTACACTGGCCTACACTAGCCCAGCCTACACTGGCCTACACTAGCCCAGCCTACACTGGCCTACACTAGCCCAGCCTACACTGGCCTACACTGACCTACACTTATCTACACTGGCCTATACTGACCGACATTGGCCTACACTAGCCCAGCCTACACCGGCCTACACTAGCCCAGCCTACACTGGCCTACACTGGCCTACACTGGCCTACACTGGCCTACACTTACCTACACTGGCCTACACTAGCCCAGCCTACACTAGCCCAGCCTACACTGGCCTATACTGGCCTACACTGGCCTACACTAGCCCAGACTACACTGGCCTACACTGGCCTACACTGGCCTACACTGGCATACACTGGACTACACTGGCCTACACTGGCCTACACTGGCCTACACTGGCCTACACTTACCTACACTGGCCTACACTAGCCCAGCCTACACTAGCCCAGCCTACACTGGCCTATACTGGCCTACACTGGCCTACACTAGCCCAGCCTACCGTTACCATCAAAACCTACTTTCTCAGCATTCGCCGGGTTGGAGGAGTGAGTGGAAGACTTGGGGAGGTTAAAGTTCATCTTTGACCAACTCAACAGTTCAAGGCTTCTGTCGCCGCTCTTTGTTCTCGGGTGAGCTGTTCAAAATTGGAAGCGTCGGTGGTCGACTCACTTTGATCTGTTTCTCCAAACTTGAGACGTCGGTCGCCCAATGTGCTGAGTGTGACCTTGTGTGGCGGAAGTTGCGTTGTTCGAGTCAACATTTCAAATCTCTAACCAGTTGGTTTAGAGATTACACATTTTTTTAAAGCATAGGCCTAAACTATAAATAAAGCATAGATCTAGATCTAGATGTAGCATTTGTTTTCGTCGTTGAGTTTTACTCTGTCATAAGCCGACTTCTGTTTCACAGATGTCATGTTTATGTCATTCTACGGGCCGTATTTAGGATAGGCTAAGGCACTTTTTTCGTAGTTCCTGTTTTACTGGCCCCAAAATGTTTAGTTTCAGGAAAGAGTGGAGTGGCCCATCGATCTACCGGGAAAAATTTTTTGCACATAACTGGGGGTGTTGAATGGGGGATAGTTGTGATTAAGTATGCGTAAATATACAATGAATAATGATGAAATCTGCATCTGATTGGGAATAGTTTCATGGAGATGTCTATAATTAAGTAGACGTAACAATTAATTATAATGTATACAATGAAAACGTTGTCACTATATAACCAGTCGATACAAAACTGAGACTTTGGAAAAAAAAGTGCAAACTTTAACATCATCTTTTTGATGGGGTTTCTAGAAATAAATACTTTGGTTTCTTAAGCCGTCACATTAGTTAGTGGTATAAAGCATGGTTTGATGGCGTCTGGGCCTTCTCGTTATTGGAAAGTCATGTAAAACGTCTGCTGATAAATGTTTTGATTTTAAGATCACTTTTATACAGTATTCATGATGTTTACACATAAAGCACTTATTTGATACCCGGCATTCAAAGAAATATTATTCGTTGACTAGGAAGTTATTTTACAGCTATTCATTTTCTAAGCTTAAAATATTTTTTAATAAACTGTGATTTTTTTCCAACCATGGCGTGGGAAGGACGACTCAAAAATAGCTTTTAGCATCAATGTGGACCCGTTCAATGTTTTTAAACCCGACACAAAACTGACGCTCCATTAAACATCTGAATTCTTTTCAGGCAGCCAAAGGACCGTTAAATATCAATCCTCACCCCCTCCCCTCCACACACACACATACACACACACCACACACATACACTCACATACATAGAGCGATGTTTACTCATTGCTGAATTCTAAAAATGGGTACCATATCTCGCTTTAACAGTTTGAATTAGCGTCAAGAAAAGGTTTTCCTTAAAGGTTAACAGCATGTGGCGGTCTCTATGTGACTAAATGTGACTTGATTCTAGTGACTATCTCTAAATGACTAAATGTGACTTGCTCTTGTAGTTGTAACTATCTTTCTAAATGTCTATATGTGGCATGCTGCTTGTGACTATCTATAAATGACTATATTTGGCAATTTTTAGTGACTGACTTTATGTAGCACTTTATAATATAGGTAACTATCTGTATGCGACTTCTGTCAGATAATTATCTTTAGTTCACTTAGTGGTTAGCTCCATCTGACTATCTGAAGGACAGATTACAGACAGACAGAGCGACAGACTTGAAAGTGTAAACAAATTATTGACATTTATTTATAAATGTTATAAAATATTCAATTTTTGTTGAAAATATGCTTTTTGGCAACAACAATTTGGAACCAGCTTTCAAGCCTATTGTTAATATCAACCAAGCTACTAGAACTTTACTATGCTAAATACAAAACGTGTTTTAAAAAACGACAAGTGCCAAAGTACTGTAAGCTAGGTATTAAACAGCAACATATCCTTCGAATTAGGACAAACATCAATTTATAATGGTTAGGCCTAGGTTTAGGATTAAGATTAAACTCTATTTAATAACCCATAATGTGACGCTCGGCTAAGCTGAAGCGCACATGCCATTGATTTTCCCTGCTTTGACAGACGACTTGTTGCCGTCAACACAGTTAAAAATAAACCCGTACATTTCACAATCACTTTTCTGTACGGGCGGTAGAAATAAATTGACTCCGAGCCACCGAGCGGACCTAAAAATAGCACCAGCTCATAGGTGGCGCGCTGTAGTGTCGGAACTCGTGGCCAAATCTTGTAATCTTCTTTATGTCCTTCCGCGCAGCTTCCCGTGACGTTGATGAACGACAGGACTACGCTCGAGGACTGTAGGACCCGGCGGATTAATTTTTGTGCTGTTGTTGAGTGTGTCGGAATGGTGATTGTCGGCTGGTGTTGCCTCATCGATCTCGTCCAAATGTGCCAGTCCATTCGCTGGGAGACGGCGTGCACTCTACTCAAAATCTACGCGTCCATTAGTTTTTTGAGGCGTTGCTTTCATCCAATTTCCCCCGACTACTGAAGGGCGAGAGAGTGCGCTGTGTGCGAACGTCCGTGAGTGACTTAACTTGTGTTTTAAAAGCGTGGTATGTTCCCATCGGCTAAAACATGGGCTTTCTTAGTATTCGGAAAATACGTTAACAAAATTTTTCTTAAAAATAGGCATCGAAAGTACTTCAAATGTTCTTTGTAAAGATTGTAACAAATCAAAAGAAACGGTTATTTCTGTACAATCCATGTTAGCAAAACAAGTTAATAAAAAGTCTAGTGACAATTTAAGCGCAATTTCCTTATGTTATCTAAAAATAGCTCTGTCGTAGCGTAAAGCAGACACGAGGACAAAACACAAGACGTATAGTGCTGGGGTGCGTTCAAGCTAGGAGAACGACCGGTTTGTAATTATTTTAAAATTTTGTGACCGAACGAAAGGATATTTTTGAAAACTTTCTTCGGCAATATTGTTCTAAATTATGGCAGAAATCGATTGGTAAATGTTTCAAGTCGCTAAGTGGTCTGGTTGCCGAGATATAGGCAAAAAACTGCATTTTTTCGAGGTTTTTTGGCTTTTCCGGGAAATCCAGGAAGGAATTCCGGGAATTTTTTTGGCCCACAATCATCCTTGGAACTTGCTTAACATATTTGCTTTTGGAACTAGTCCTCGATATTGCTTCGTTGAGGAGGAGATACGATTTAAAGCTGCGGACACACATCCATACATCCATACATTCACACATCCATCCAGAAATGACGCATTATTAAACGCAATTTTTCTTTTTTTTAAATTGCTCTAAAAAATTAAAACATGTTTTAAAAAAAACAACTGTTTAAAATGTATGTTAGCATTTAAAAACACGTCAAAGAATTTAAAAACACGTTAAACATGCTTGTATTTTTGTGTTGAAAAAAGTTATTTTGACTTTTGTCTACTCCTCATATAGCCTAGCACCCCTTCCCCCCCCCCCCCCCCCCCCCCCTTAGCCGCCACCCACCCAGTGATTGAGAAACTTTTGCAGACACAACACAGACCCACAAATCTGGATGTGACAAACGGTCTTACCCCCCCCCCCCCCTCCTCCACCTCCAGTCATGGCAACCGTCATTGATACCACCAGTCAGACGACGACGGTTTTTGTTTTAAAACTCCCACACTCCATACCCTGATTGGGGCGTTTGTCAAGTTCTACCCCAAACTTGACAGCCCCCGGCCATAAAACTGACAAGTTATTTTCCCCGTCAAAGTCCACATTCCGCGCTACCAACGTGGCCGTCTGCTGGGTGTTTATTCAAACCAGACGATCAACTCATCGTCTGCTGGTCATCGCCGTCCCAGCCAATCAAAAATCATGATCTGTAATTGCATTCGCGCGACTCCTGCCATTTTTCTAGCAATGTAAACAATATCAACACGTGACCAGTTAACCGACATTCACAAACAAAACAAAAACTCACATTTTTCAAAATTAAACTATTTAATTTTGATCAAATACTTCAATTTTAAATTTTTCTTATAACATTATATATATTATAGGCTAAAAATGTTTATTAGATTATTTTGTAATGTGGTTGCTTCTCATACTAAAGAAATGCTAGCGAGACTATTATGTAGGTGCCCATATCTAGGTTATTGTAATGCTTGCTAGAATAAATTATTACGTAGATCGTTGCATTACTAAAGCCGCAGGTTCCCAAACGTTTCAAGTAGCGACCCCTTTTTTTATAAAAGTCTATTGTCCCGCGACCCCCATACAATTAAAATAATATATTTTGTTTAGTCTACAAGTCTGCAACCCCAAGAAACATCTTCTGGGGGTCGCGACCCATAGATTTGGAACTCGTGACATAAGGACAAAATAATTCTTCTTGGCCACAGTAGATAAAGACTTTCTAAGCGACACAACAGTTTCAGTTCAATCAAAGAAGAAACAAAAATCCATATCAAAGCGACAAGCAGAGTTTCTTCCAGGCATCTCTTCGGGGGGGCGAAGCCCCCCCCGAAAATTTTTTACCGCCCCCCCGAACGAAATGAAATTTATATCATTTATATAGAAAATATATACTTTTAACAGTGTCCGCCCCCCCGAAGAAAGTTTACCGCCCCCCCGAAGATTTCAAGTGCCCCCCCGGAGAAAAAAGTCTGGAAGAAACACTGGCGACAAGCCAGTGGTTAATTTACAGTCCTCACAATCTGATTGGTTCGTTTTCACAGTGAATTACTCCAAGCCCGCGACACAGCACACTCAATATGGCGGACAATATGGCGGACACTAAGTACATTTTCCTGTCAGAGAATTAGGCCTGAAACATGTTACAGTGAGATGGATGCGTTGTGGTGTGTGTGTGGGGGGAGGGGGGAGGGGGGGGTAGAGGAGTGACGAGGGAAGGTTGTGTGTGTGGGGTGGGGGGGGGGGGGCTAGAGAGAATAAAAGGAAAAGACGAAAGGAAAAAGTGAGAGCTGAACATTTATTTTTTAACATGGAAAATGTTTTTTAATCTGCCATTTTTTATAATCTGACTGGATAAAGCTAGCATCGTTTCACGTTTTGCTGTAACGAGGAGAGATACGTTGATGAGTTGGTATCACATACAAGCTGATGTCATTCGTAGTGATACTGAGGACAAATACAACAGTTAATGTGTTGTTGTAAAAACTATGTCAAACATACTGACAATAATGAGAGATAAAAGAATTAATTAAAACTGATGTCAGATATTGTGACAGATCAGATTAAATTATCAATGGGTTGTATGACGGCTTGGTCTAGTGGTAGAGCGCTAAACTGCTAATCCAA